ATGTTGACTCTCTTATCTTGGAGGCTTCCATTTGTCTTTGTAGAGTAGTTATTTGGCCTATGAGGTGTGATATCTAAGTCTCCATTTCGAATTGCTTTGCCATATATATCATGATGTAATTTTTTCATTGAACTTTGCTACTATAATGTCTTTTCTTTGTCCAGCTAACTTTTTAAATAAAGATAGTGGTAGCTCCAAAATAATACATAATATAACCACAAGAATTAATCTCTAACTAGATGATTGCTATAAACACACTACCAAAGAACAGACTAATGCTCACTTTGATATCAATGAAATGAAAATAGATTATTTATAAGTTCTAAAATCCTTCCAATCTATAGCAATATAAATCTTGTCACAACGTAGGATAAAATAAATAAATAATAATTTTAGTGAGGACCAAAATAAAATTGAATAAAATTAAATAAAATTAAACATAAAAGACAAAATAAGGTAAAAAAAGATAAAACTAAATTGAAAAAAAAGTGCAAATCTAGACTTTATTAAAAAAAAGTATTTAAAACCAAACTTGATTAAATATCCAAATAATCCTAATTAATCCTATTTATACTTTGTCCAACTCTCCTAGAGCTTTTTAGAATGTTCTTAATAGTAGGGTCCATATTAATAACTATCCTAAGTCCTTTTTAGAATGTTTCATAATGAATCCCATATAGACCATCAACCTAGTGACAATTCTAGAGACTTCTAAAAACTTCTAAAAACTTCTTAAACATGGTTCCTATTACTTATTTCTATATATCAATAATATGAGTATCTTAACCATATTCCATTACAATCCACTTAAGAGCTATGTGGTGATGTTTTATAGGACCTCTAACTTGTGTTGACTTTGCAAGCCATATGTCTTAATTTGCAAGATAAGTTTTATATAGATGTCATAGACATATACATGTAAATCAATATATTACCTATAGGATTTAAATAATAATAAGTAAAAATAGGTTAATTCTACAATATCTTCTATAGAAGCTTCATAGATGATGTTTTAACTTTACAAGTGTCTATAATTAACTTTTTAGGTTAAAAATGTAATCAATAAGTTGGCCATATGCCATACATATTGGTAGCTTGAAGAACAAGCTAACTATGTGACTCACATATAGAAAACTTGCCTTATAAGCTAAAGCATGTGTCCTACAAAGTCAACACATATTAGAGGTCCTATAGAACATTGTCACGTAACTCTTAATTAGATAGTATATATAGATGGAAGAATAAAGCCATCTTCACTCTAGATTTAAGAGTCTCTAGTTTTCTTTGTCTTTTGTTAATAGCCATTTTAGTTTTTTTTTAATATATATACTACTTTATTGCTATTTTATCACTTTTCTTTTAATACAATTTTTTTAGGTTTATGTATCTTCTTCCACTTCATGTCCTTAACAATGGGTGCACCACATAGTTAACTTGTTCTACAAGCTATCCATATGTGTGATACATGATTAACTTGTTGATAAAGTTTCTATTCTAAAAATCAACTATAAACATGTATAAAGTCAAAACCATGCCCATAAAGCTTTTAAGAAGCTTTTTTAGAAGATATTATGAAATTAATCTATTTTTATTTATTTTATCTACTTCTACCTAATCATATAGGTAATTATTAGAATAAATATTTATATCCATAACATGGAATTGATTGACAATTAAACCAAATATAATTGGTAATGAAAAGGCAAAAAGAAATAAAACTTGAATAATGTGAGAAGGACAAGTGTTAATGTTGTATCTAGTGTCTTTGCAATTTTTACAATATTAAACATTGACAATTGAATCTTTGACATATTCAAATTACAATATATATATATATATATATATATATATATATATATATATATATATTTTTTTTTTGTAATAAATTAATAATTGTCTTATTTTTGAGCTGCATAAACAACCTTTTACGGGGCTTATTGGAAAATTTTCTAAAGCTCTTATCATTATAGCAAGCTTTAAGTGCTTTTCTTACATCTTTTGCTATTGATAGAATATGATAAGATTGTATATCCATTTAATTTCTTCAAGCATAGTGCTTAATTCAATAGTAGTAGTAATCTTATTTGAAGTGGACTTAGCTATCATCACATATAAATTGATCAGATTATTTTAAGTATGAAAATCATTAACCATTAAGATTTTTGCATGTTCTAATATCTTCCAAATTTAGTGTTGATAAGAAAGTTCAAGTATCATTATAAATATATTTGTATATGTAATTTTTTTATTATTTAAAAGAGTTTTGGTTAATTGAAATTGCTCAAATACAAGCTTCAATGCATATATTAATCTCTTCATAATATTTCTCTTGAAAAACTTGATGTTGTGATAGTCGTGTACATATAAGTATTGAAAGCTCTTATAAACTTTAATTGCTTTGATAGAATTATCAAAAAAGATTAATAGAGAAATTTACATATTACAAATCTCATTTATAGAGACCTACATGTGTAACTTCAAGACCATGTATTGCCCTTCTATATACAATGTGATACAATTGAGTATTATTTGTCCATAATTTGAGAAATTGTTCTTTATAGAAAATCCATGTTTTTTAAAGATATATAAGTGTCATTGTGATTGAAAGGAGAATATACATTGCATAGAAGTTCATCCATTATTTATCAAAATCCTCATTTCTTATGCAATTTATTATCATTGTCCATTTTGTAAGCAAGATGGCTCATCCATCTTCATTCATTAATGGAAAAAAACTTTTTGTAATTGGCCAAAATATTCTTTTGAATATGCCATTTGTAAGAAGAATCTTGAAAACACATCTTCTATGGCATTTATGAGTGCAAAATTTTTATTAGTATTAATATTAATGGATCATAATTTTACATGTATTAATTTTAGTTACATTAATATTCAATGTAAAAGGAATTGTATTCTTTCTTTAAGAAATGTAATCCAAATAATATAAAATATTAAGAAGGTTTTCCATCAAAGTATAGATTAGTCAACCACCATGAATATCCTACCACTCATTGTAGATAATATTTGTAATTATTATATTTGTAGAGTCATTTTGATATACAATAGTAATAACATCCCTTGGAACTACTATTCTAACAAGAATATAAGCCATTAGATTCTTGTATATAGGTTAGACGTAATATGCAATTGAATGGCCCACTGATGATGTCAAAAAACAATGGCTGTATCTTCTATTTTAAATTGAAAAATGCCAATGCTTATTAATATACAAAGAACAAGTATGTAATTAAAGAAAAACGCTTTATTAGATATATGGCTAAACTATGCTAATGAATATATGCTTCAAATTCATTGTAAGTACAACTTCTATTGCACTCAAAGACAATATGGCCCATGTTAGAACAATGTCAACAAATTGCATAATCTTAGGCATGCAAAAACCGATCTAACCATCTTTTCATTTCTTCATATGGGGCAAATGATTGCTTTAAAGAGGATCCATACCTAGTCTATTTTCTATTTCAGAATGAAAGAATTCTAAAATATCTACAACTTCTTTCTAGGTTAAAGTTAGCACAATATAAGTTATAGAAAGAAGATTTTGATGGTGAAGAAGGGCAAAGAAAGAAATAAGTATGGTAAGAGATTTTTCAATTTAAATAATAAAGCTATTATTATTATTATTATAGTCAAGTTTCAACTATTTATTAATCATGTCTCTATAGATGTATTATATTTACACATAAATTCACCAGGATTAGTCCCATTTGAATCCACTCATGTTTATTATGACATATTGCACCTTCCTAATATTATTTCTAATTTAATATTACTACAAGTATTGCCATATTTGCATAATGATGTACTTTTGGTACAAATTAATGATGGTAGGATTGAAAGAATGGGGCTGGGATTGATTTAACATTCACCTAAAATCATTACATTTTTTTTTAATTAACATACTTTTTACAAATAATTAAAGATACTAATCAATTATCAATTAATTAAAATACAATATAAGATAAATTATGTGATATTTTTTTAGTTTTTAGTATTTTTACATTAATAGTTACAACAAAAGTATGATTTCTGATGTTTTATACTACATTTATTGTTAATTTTCTATCTATTAAGAGAGTATAATATATTTGGAAGCTTTATCCAAGATATCATAACATACTTGATAATGTAGTTGTACTTTGATTTATGATAGACTTGAAATCATTAATAATTTGTACTTTACAGAACACTTGCTGCAAATTCTTGTTCAAAGCTATTTTAATATATATTTTACAAAATCAAACAGTTTATGCATTAAAGACCAGTATGTTTGAATGATATCCATACAGTTCAAAAACAAGTAATCGAAGAAATGCTGTTTTTCTAGTTTAAACATAAGAAATGGTCAATCACGATTGATATTAAAAGGAAAAAAAAGAGATAAAAAACATACATGTGAACGAAAAGAGGGGAGGCACCAAGAAAAACGGCAGAAAAAGACCAAGGAAGAGAACAAGACCCAGAGCCAAAGGGACCCCCACTAGGAGAACAGGAAGCGCATCCCAATGCTAAAAAGAAGCAAAGAAAAGGGGGGAAGCAAGGAAAAGGAAAGGAAAGGGAGGGGGAGAAGGGGGAGATGGGGCAGCATGGACTGACTGGTCCCACTCTAACAACGAAAGGCAGACAGACTGACTGACAGACATACAGCTAGACAGCGAGCGGAGATGGGGGGGGGGGTAGGGATCAGTATGACAGAGGAGCCCATGCCCAAATCGGGGGCGGTGGTGGCGACGCTTTCAAACCCCCTTGCTTGCTTTTTGCAGTTTGTTGTGGTTGTTGGCCAAGGCGGGCCGGGGGGGCCAGACCCGATCCATCCATGCAGGACCATCCATCCATGCAGGGTGGACGTGGACGTCGAGGGAGGGAGGGAGTGGTGCGTCGTCCTCGCCCGCCCGCCCGCCCGCACGCCGGGCCCTGTGCGCGGGCAGAATGCGCGGGGATTGGGGTGGCGACTTGTTCAATCTCTAGGTCAGGGAAGGAGGAGCCCCCAGAGAGAGAGTGAGTGAGAGTCCCTGTCCCTGTGGGAGTGTAGCAGCGCTGCATCCATCCATCCATTCCACCTCGCCTCGCCACCTTTGCGGGGCTGTCGTGACGGAGGAGAATGGAAACTGGGCTTACATTCTCCTCTCGTCTCCTCTCCTCCTCGATGCAGTTTTGTTTCCCAGCAGCTCCTTTAATTAGATCGCAGCAAAAAGTTCGATGGTAGGGAGGGGCGTGATTATGAACAAGCCGGGAGGGGAGGCAGGGAGGGGAGGGGCTGGCTGGCTAGCTGTAATGCTTGTCATTCCGGATAATCGCCGATCCCAGTTGTTTATTTGTTGCAGATGGTGAAATCTAGGGTAAGGGGAGATTGGTGAGCTTGATTGACTTGGTGTTGCCAACCGCATTGGGCCAGCGGTTGTCCTGTTTTAGTAGGTTGTACAATCTAGGAAGTAGTGGGATTGGGTCTACGGAATGGCGAGGCAGATCTAGGGAGTGGAGGTTTTTGTCTCAGGCTGTCCGTTGCAGCAGAGCAGGGGCAGCGAGCGCCATCGCCATCGCCGGGTGGGTGCGAAAGCCCCAAGGACACAGGTACACACGTCGTCGTAGGAGCTGAGCCTTGCGTTTCTAAGACAATTTACTTTCCGGGTTTTATTTCTGTTATTGCTAGCTGTTGAGCGCCTCCACGAGGGGCAGTTTCGAGGTTGGGAGGTGAGAGAAAAGTTGCGCGCAAGGGAAGGTCGTGAGGTCGCGCGTCCACGCGGTAGTGGTGATGAGCTGGGGCGATGTTGAATCGTTCCAACCTGCGAGGTGGAAATGGGGAATCGTTGCAAGGGGACTCTTTTCGGTGAGGAACTGCGACCGTGCTCGTGTGCCGGCCGAAATTGTCGACTTGTCTCAGGAATTTTTGTGAGTTTTGTAGGGGCTGTATCTGGGGGGAGAGTGTAGCAGAGAGTTGTAGAGGTGCAGAGGAGCTTTTTTTGTCGACGTGATGCGATTCGCTTATTCTATCCATTTGCCTTTGATTGGCTATGATTTGAGGATACATCTTGGGTTTGGTGAGTGCATGATCAGTCGTGTCGCTTTGCTGTACTTGTGGGAGACCTTTCTGAGAATTGTAGTCTTCAGATTTGTCTACCGGGGATTTTCAGGAAGGATTCGAGATTCTATTGACGTGGATTGGTTTTGCGGATTATCTGAGACTTCTTGGACCTCGTTTTACAGATTTTTGCTCACATCTGAAGGTACTTGGGAGTGAATTAGATTGGGATAGATGCGTCGAGATTGCAATGCTGACAGCGCAATTGACTTCTCTTTGATATAGTCAAGCCTTTTTCTTAGCTTGATTCCGATGCAGATCGGCGCAGTCCTCTTGCAAAGAATTGAATACGTTTTGGAGAAGCCTTGCTCTGTCTGTCTCGTCGGCGCTCTTCTTGCCTGTTATTTGCTGCGTGTTACAGTAGCCAAATCAGAAAGCAATCAGCACCAAAGATATTTCCATTCATCCTTTTTATTACTGAAAAAAACAAGACATTCAATTTGTCAATTGAAAGATGTATTCGATAGTGGGAAGAAGTTGCAATTGACTTCTCGCATTTGCAATGCACCTTCTTTTGACAGGCACGAACCTATTCTTCGATTAAATTCTGAGCGTAGTGCACACTCCGCTAGAATGCTTCAAGATTACTTTGTTGCCAAGCTTCCTCGCACTTTGCTTCCCAAACATTGTTCTTTTTAGCAGCCTTATTTGGACTAAAATGTTGCACAAAACTTCTTATTTGATTTTTCTTTTCTTGACTTGTTTTCGCAGGTGATGTAGATACAGGACATGGCTCCGTCCGAGGGTTCTTCCTACACTAGTACCTCCCCTTCTTGTTTTCACTGGGATCAGAACAGATAAAAGAGCATCTGTAGGAACTCATCATTGATTGATAGAGTAGCTGTTCAAGTAGAGGTCTCCGTGACTCCTTTTGAGCCTGCACTAGGTGGCCTGTTCTTCTCATGGTATAGGATTCTGCAAGAAGTGCGACCAGGATAGCGTGCATTGAGGTTTGCACTTGGTATCAGCAATTTGGTTGCTGATAAATATCGGATAAGTCTGAGGGCTTCGCATTGGAACATCGAGGACATAGGCTTTTGCCTAGTCATTGTGGAAAACCATGGTTGGAGATGCGAAACAAGAAGGGGAACTCCCTGTATTACAATTACACAATTGGGCCAATTCTCCACTGGTCATTTCTCTCTTTAAATCTGCTGCTCTTGCTCCCTCTCGCAACAAAATTTGTCTCCTTTCTCGTCATCATGAAGCCCTTCTCATTCCTCTTGGGTTCTCGCACAGTAGCTCCTTGGTTAATTGCTCCGCCTCTTTTTCCAACGACTTGCCGGATACTGCCCCTGTTTCCGGATCGATTGCTTCATGCTCATCAACTTTTACACCCGGAAAGGACCCTCATCAGGAAGTATTGGTGGAGGAAGTAGGGTCAGATAATCTGGAATCAGCTGTGTCCTCCCTCGAGTCATCTGCTACTGTACATATCAATTCTGAATTTCCTAGAACCCTAGCATATTCGATTGCCGGACGAGGATTTGCCCTTGTACAAGAAATTCTTGTTTCGGAGAAGCTGGACATTCAAAATTCCACTTCTCAGTCTACTCCTCTTTCCTCGAGTACATCAAGCCCTTCATCAACTTTCCTTGATCCTCATCAACTTTCACGTCCCCCATCTTCCAAATATGAAGCGACGCCTGACCTTCAATTTTCTTCGTCGTTTCCTGTCCTCTCAGACGTTGAGTGCTTCTCATGGGCATGTTGTGGAGACGAATATGAAGCCAATCAAACTTCTGGTCCATTTTCGGAGCTTCTTTTAACAGGTGGGAAGGAGGGATTAATCATTCATGCATTTTGCAGTGAAGTTGGAGTTCAATACAGACATGAAAATAGCGGAAAGCATGATATGGAAGAATGCGCTCAGCTCCATCCACTCAGCGAGCAATCCAGCGGTGGCAGAGGGGAAGATAGAATCCACGGATCATGGCGCAATTGGGGTTTGGGGGAATTTCAAAGACGCCAAGAGTGTTGGCGGCGACTTGAGGAGCAGTCTAATTCGAACCAGGATAAGAGTGATCAAGCCAACCAAAATTACGAGCAAGTATGCGATCACTCATGTGTTCACAATGCCAATGATTTTGAAGGAGTGTGGCCGCCACAGTCGTTGGAGGGTCTCGTGAGGGATTTTTGCTCTCCAGATTATAGGAAAGGCGGAAATTTGCGTAGAGGTCTTAAGTCTTTCGTTATCGATGCGAAGCTCGAGGGTAACGAACATGTGTCCTCTCTTGTGTATGACAAACATCAGTCTTGGCCCCTGTCTGCAGAGATAGTCACCTTCCGACTTGCACAGGGGTCTTCTGCTCTATCTCACCTGGTTTCTCTAGCTCGAAAGACCAGTGTGGAAAGCCAAAATCACAGAAATGCTTCGTTGGACCAGAAAGTGGATAATTCGGTTCCAAGACATGCTGCATCTGCGTGGACCAGATTAAAGGATGGGTATTTTTCTACTCCCAGAAGGCAAGAAGGTTCACATGAAGTGGTCGGAATAATTTCAAGTCCCTCTCAAAACTTAGTTGCTGTCATATTTTCTGCTTTTTCTTCATCTGTTCTTAAAGAAGAAGTCACTGAGTCAAGAGCGTCAGAAACCGTGGAAAGAGACCACAGTACTGCGAGTTGCGAAGGAGTTTCAGACGATAAGAGGTGGAAGAGGTCGTGGAAGGGCTCCTTTGACCTTTGTGTCATTACTGCAACGGTGAACAGCCGGGGTTTGAAATGGATATCCGGAATCGATTTTGAACATGCAGGAAAGGAGGCGAGGGTTCCAATTGAGCAGTGGGCAGATTTCAAGCTCTCGATTGACAAGTTCCTCGGCTTGACAGAGAGCGGGTGTGTGTACATTTGGACAGCAATCACGGGCAATTTTCTTGCATGTATCGATGCTTTCCAATTCTGTCAAGTCACCCTTGACACCACGAGGCGTATCAACAAACGTACTAAAGAAAGAAAAGCTGACAGCACAGTGGCAAGTGCCAGTTGGTTTGAACCCGAAGGAAAACATAAATTTGTTCAACTTGTGGTTACGCCAGATTGCTCGCTTCTAACTACAACCGATGAACAGGGTGTCATGTTTCTTGTATCTGTTGATGACTATTTTTTGGCCCACCCACAACCATTTAATACAGACCTCATTCCTTCCGAAAGGTACTGCTACAGAAAGCATAAAACTCTGTCAAGCTGGGAAGTCGCTGGCTCGTCAATCAATCGTGCCGCACCAGTCGAAGGGCATTCTAAGCACCAGCTGAAGATGAGTGTATCGTCATCTGATCCAAAGCAGGGTGTAACGCACGAAAATTCAGCAGTGGTTGATTCATTCCGGGAAGATTCAACCGTTCCCTGGCCTACTGCAGGCTTGAATGGATTCAACTCAAGGCTGAAACAAAACAATCAAGAGCAGAGATATGTCGGTACAGTTGACAGTTCTTCCAAACCACTGCGCCAAGTTTTTCTTCCGCTGAATCAGAATGAAACTTTCGTAGAAATGGCATTGAACTCGTACAGTATCACAAGGCTAGCCACCAATATTAAGGATAGGAGCAAATTTACAGTTGTACAAAGCCAGCTCCGGATATCGGGAGGTTCATTTGATGAGATGATGCTGAGCAGGCAGGAACTTTCTGCAGTCGAAGGGAGACTGATCAAACAGCACAGGTATGAGGGGGAAGTCTTATCTTTTACTTCTCAAGGTTGTCTTTACTTGGTTACCGCAACCGCCCTACATGTAGTTCTCCCTCCACTGGCTTTTTCTTCATCCCAATCTGGCCTGGCTTTCCCTCGTGACATCCCATGGTGGCCAAGTGATTTGGAAATTGGGATGTTCTCGAATAAGGAGATTGGTGTGTTACCCCTCCTATCTCGTTCCCACGTTCAACAATGGCAATCAGAAGTACAGGACCGATCACTTATTTTTGATGGAGTGGAGGCGACCGAACGTTTGTGTGGTGAAAATGGTAAGCTGACAATTTGGCTTTGGATCTGCAAACTTTTGGAGTTTTCGAATGCATGTTTAATTACTACTGCAAGTACTTGGGTTTGTGCATTCTTTTATTTCCTTTTTCAATGGAAGTGTGGCAGCAGTTTATAATTGTCACTTAATGACAGCGCTCTAAAACTTCTCATGACACGAGACTGCGACTTGAGTGATTGTCTTGTATTGACTTGACTTGCATGAATGATGTTGGATGATTTTCTTTCAGCAAATCATGTGATCATACTGAGATCTGTTTTTCAGGAACTATGAAGCGTTCATTCTAAGAATTTGGTTGGTTTGTTTATTTCTGATGCATACATTCCAACCACTTACGAATGGACTTTTTCTGTTGAACTGCATATATATCTTTCAGGATGGAATCTGCAGCGCCTGCGATTAAGGAGGTTACAGCTTGCATTAGATTATGTACAGATTGATAAAATAGAGCAGTAAGTTGGACCCCCTATGCTTAGTTGGAAACACTCGATATTTTTCGTCATTTATTGCAAGCTTAATAAAAACAACTTGAACAATATTAGGATCACAAACCTCTTTTGCTGTTGGTCATCGAGGCTGTAATTTCGATTTTTTACTGATACATGTATTAGTGTAAAGTCTCTTAAACTGTTATGACTAATTGAATCTGGTCTCTGTCGGAACATTTGCAATGTTATATTCATGATGTTTCGATCGTGAAGTTCGAAGGTATTGCTGGCACTTCTATCATGTTATGATTTGGTTCTATTCATTTGTATTTGCTGGGAAGTTGGAAATGCTTTAGACCTAACCAGCCTGAGATGATCACTATGATGCAGGGCGTTGGAAGGTTTGGTAGACGTGGGTGCAGCCGAGGCAGGTATGCCTCGAGTCTTGTTTGCAGCTGTTGAGCTCATACTTGCTCCCTATGGGACCGACAACGAGCTTGTGTTGGCATCGCGGTCAGTGTATTTTCGGATTTTTGTTTGTAATGATATATAATGAAAAAATGTTAAAATGAGTAGGTGTTCCAGAAATTATTCTAAAATAGGTGTTCTTCGCGTGAAGATTTTGGTTCCGCTCAGAGAAATATGCTCGTAATAGTAGGAATATTTATCAACTAGCTAATCCCAGCTGCTATTTGAAGACTTATTATGACTCTTCTTGTTGGGAAGAAGTAGAATGAGGAAGTTCTCTGTGAAAGAAATGAAGAAAAGTTGCAATTATTAATTAAAAATTACAAATTGAACATTTAAGTTGATTCAGTTAATAAGTTAAAGATTGGAATGTCTAGGCTGCTATCGATTGCTGCTCAATTTTCAACCAGGCTGGTTAGGCGGTACGCCGTGGCTGGTGCACGGCTACGAAGCAGGAGCACTCCTCGAAACTCCACCTTCTCTTCGTCTTTCAAGTCTCTACAGAGACAAAGTGCATCCAAGTTTCCAAATGGTGTTGCTGAATTGTCTCGGTTTATCGTCGTCATTCGGACTCTGCAAGAACACTTGCAGGCCAAGCGCAAAGGTCGAAGTCGCAGTTTTAAGGTGATTAATGCTCACTTACTGAAATTGCCTCTCTTAAATGCATGGTTCTTACATTTTGTGATTGCAGTAAGATTTGTTGTGAGTTGACAGGAAATCTTAGCATACGCCTTGGTCTCGCATCCTCTCCTGATTTTATTTGCATTGCCAGGGATGCAAGCGTCTACTACAAAATGTCACATTTAAATCGCGCTTGCTAATTTTACATGATATCTAGGTTTACGTAAGCTGATCGATCAGTAGTTTGCCATTCGTCTATGCAGATGTCTAGGGAAACATCATTTGCTTCAGGTAGTGCTTCTTTCAAAAACAGACCTATTGTGGAATTCCCAAGTGAACCAGGAAGTGGCGACTGGAATGACTCTGGAAATCAGATTGAGCACGCAAAATCATTGCCAAGTACCGCAGATGGTCCATATCTTCCAATGCCGCAGGGAGTACTTACAACTACTAGTAGCTCTTTGGGATCGAAGACAAGATGGAACGAAGGTACTTCTTACGCCGCATATTTTAGGAAGATTGATAGAAATTTCGGACTTGAATCTTCTGCAAATTCCTATTGAAAATTTTCTTACATGTGATTAAGTACCCTCGATACCGCTGACGATAAGGAACTATATTGCTGAAGTCAAGTTCTATGAAACGCATCATAATTGTTTTAGAGATTGGATAATTATTTATTTGAAGCCACCATGATGTATCTGTCATTTCTCAGGATCTCTTGAGGAAGCTAAAGGTAGAAGACCCTCTGTAGAGAGTGCAGATGAGATGTTCGCCAGATGGGAGAACACGTCAGTGGATGCTGAAAGCGTGGTGAGGGATGCATTGATAGCAGGACGTATACCTCTAGCTGTTGTGCAACTTCACCGCATGCGGTCCAGGGCATCTTTGAACAGTTCTCCAGGGTGCCAACCAGAAATTGTTGATGTTTTCAAGGATGTTCAGGAAATCAGCAGAGGAATTGTTTATGAGCTCCTGTGTAAGGTGAGATTGACCTAGAAATTTATCTATTTGAGTTCGTTTGTGTGTATTTCGTGTTGATGTGGACTAAGCCTTGTCACATAGCAAGACAAGGAAATGTTCGGAACACGTGATAACTAAATGCTATGTGATTGCAGGGTAAAATGGCGTTGGCAATGGCTGCGCTTCGAAGATTGGGAGAGGATATAGAGACAGCACTATATCAGCTTGCATTTGGAACTGTTAGGCGTAGTTTGCGTAAGCAAACAAAAAAGGAACTGCTTAGACATGTCCGGCTTGGTACCCTTGATTCTCGATTGCTCGGAATCACAACTTATCTGGAGGTATTGCCAAGTTATTTCAGTTATTGCATGCTGCATTTCTACATACTTTCAGTCGATAACAAATTTGATCCTGCGCGTCTACTTCGGTTTTCTGGTGACCAAGATCAGTGTTTTAAAGTGCCTGATCTATTATCTGCCACATGATCAGAAGTTTGGGAAGATAGTTTCTATCTTTGGCCACCTCAACTTTTGTAACACTTGAATGGTGATCATTGCTTGCTGTTTTGTTGAATAGGGGCTATATCCTCACAGCAGCTTTTGGACCTCATATTCGGCACGTCAAGGTCAAGTAGCAACCAAAGAACCAATCATTGAGCCTGTTCCATCGGACGACGAAAAACAGAGTCTGCGACTGATCTGCAAAAGCAATGCGGGTGGAGTCTTCAGTCTCGAATGTGGGGATGGAGATGGTGTAGTCTTGGGATCCTGGAATACAACTAAGAATTTGGAAGCTTTGGAAAATACTGGTTTGGGGCAACACATTACACCACCTGGTTATTTTGTTGTTGCAGCTGTTTGGTTGCATGCATGGGACCAGCCAACTGTGAATCGGGTATGTCAAAATCTATATATGTGTAGAATATCGACTCTTGTTTACTTTTTGCTTCCAGAGTTGAGTTCTTACGTCTCTGCTAGTAAGTTGGATCAACGTCGTGGTTGTTCGGATCTTGTGTATGGGTTAGACGCTTTCACCACTGCAGTCGTTAATTTGTCGCATGTCAATGTCGTGAGTAAGCTTGCGTCTGTAAAGTGTCGCGTTTGAGTTGTACCCAAACCGATCGTGTGAAGATTAAAGTTTTTGTTAAATGTGCAGGTTATCCTGGATAGATTGCATGTTTCGAATGATCATATCCCATGGGTTTCATTACTAGAATACCACGTGGCTCATCATAACTGGCCCTCCGTTTCTACTCTACTTGACAATATTCCCGATACATTTCTTAATAGTGGGGTACTCCATGTTTTGTCTGATGATAATATAAGTTCTTTACGCACACAGTCTAAGTATCGTATGGAAAGAGCTTCACATCAAGATTTCATAATACCGAAAGTGAATTATTTGAAAATCGATACATTACCACTTAGTAGTGCATGGATGCTTCGGTTGATGGAGGAAAAGTTAGCGAGGAATTTTATCTTCTTACGCCTCTATTGGGAGCGGATTGCGTTACTCTCTCTGTTAGCAGCATCAGGGGTTCTTTTCATGCCAAGTTTCGACAGAAGCAGGAACACAAAATCCAAAGAATTGGTACTTGCTACAAGTATGGCAAGCAAATCATTTACGCCATTCAAGTTTCATAGAGAAGCAGTGCAAGGTGTGCATGAACTTGTAATTCGGCATTGCGTGAGGCTTTCGCTTCCTCATTTACTGGAGCGATTTCTTACTCACCACTTGCTAGGCTTCAGCAAGACTTCTTTGACCCTTCTTGAGTCATATGTGGTATGTATTCAACCTACAGCAATAAATCCATGAATGTGATTACTAATAAAAAATAACATTTTTTTCCTTCTAGCTGGATGATATTATCTCGCGGTTTTGTTCATGAAATGAGCCAATATAAGCAAGTGCTTATTGTGGTTTCTGATCCATGGCAGATTACTTTCTGACTCAGTTGTGAAGATGGCACTCACGAAGATTCAAAATTCATATTTGTTCAGGGAAATTGTGAATGGACAAGGTGGGAGCTACTATCACGGTTAAGGGGTCACGAATTCGATGCCTCATTGTCTAACTTCAGGAGCATCTCAACATCCAATTTAAGTCCTGGCTGTAAGTATGTGTCTGTGGATGATATTGCTGCTGCTGGACAGGGACTCATTGCTCTTGCAACGTTAATGTTTGCTCCAGTGCCGCTCCAGAAGTGTCTGTTTGTTGACCAAAAAATGAACAGTCAGGAGGGTCAAACATGGCAATGTACATTAGAGAATCTTCGAGAAATACTGCAGGAGTACCCTACTTTTTGGCAGACTCTGGAAGCAGCTTCGTATGGTCAAGATGCGTGGGGATTTTATTCAGTACGGTCTGCAAATACTGGTTGGTAGCTTTGCAACCTACGATCTATGACGATAAGAATCGAACATTTTGCATTGTATCTTTGCCTTGACGGCCATATGCTGTCACTCAATATGTATTGTCTTCTGCCACTGACTGGTTTCTATAATGATATTCTTTTAGATTTCTTAAGTTTGCTCTATTAGAAGGTTCTTCTCTATCTCATCGTATTCGTTTTTAGCAATCCTGATACAATTTTTTCTTTTGTAACTTATATCGAAGAGGAAACGACACCAGACATCTCAAGTTATCTACTGTGGCGAGAAACTATTTCCTCATCTGTTGCTGGAGATGCTCATCTTCTTCACATCCTCCCTCGTTGGGTGCCCAAGAGCATTCAGAGGCTTCTTCAGGTGGTTTTCAAGGTTTGTAATAACATTTTGAACCTTGAACTATCTACCTGCTCAATATTGCACTAAAACACATTAAGCACCATTACCTTTGAAAGTGAAATTTTGTGTTCAACAGCTCGTGCTCGCTGAAAGATTTAATTCTAGCTTTAAATGTTTCCTGAACACATTGAGGTACAGTAAACCAGTGAATTCAACATGCTTACTGACATAGTTAAAGGTTCATGAGTTGGTGTTATGATCCATTTAGGTCTGAATCACTTAGATTTGATTCTTGATTCTGTTAGTAAAACTCAATAAATCAGTTGCTACCAAAGTATCCCATGACAAAGATGCCATGGAATCCTCCGTTCTCAAGGATCGCCTAACGAGCTCGAGATATCTTTGAGAACGGTGAAATTTGTACAGTGCCTTGGAGAAGGTTGTCGTCGAAGAATTAAAAGGTTATTATTCGGTCCTCCATACTCCAACAACCTTACTTCAAATCTCGTTACTTTTGCCAAAGCTCTGCTAATCGAACTCGTTGTTGGTCTGTCCAGGGTCCAGGTGGAGGTTCTCAAGGGTCATTAAACCAGGGAGGTAACTTTCCAGTCGGAAATCTTAGAAGTAGTGATCAGGAATTTGGTGCGGATTTTAATGAGGGGGTTCTTCAATGGGAGGCTCGAGTGCAAACAGTAATAAAACAAGAACTTTATGCTCCCGCCACCGAGGTACATCGCCTTTTAAAACACGTGTTTCATTTTATTCACCCAACCCTATATTTATTGATTTGATATGTGGTTATGTTATGAAATTATTCTTTCGGCACTGGCTAAAGTCTCCGAGGTGGAAAATTTCTTAGATATATTCAGTGTTCGCCATTCAGCTTATTTGCCCCTCGTTTTTTTAAACTCAGAATGCTTGTATATAAATCAGGAGATAGAACCTGGAGTGGAGCATTATCTGCGACGTGGCCGTGCGTTAGCTGCCTTCAACACATTGCTTGGGCCACGCGCTCTTTTTCTAGAACCTGAGACTGAGGGGACTGGGAAATCCTTACAACCACCTGAATATTCAAAGCTTTTGGATAGCTTGTCAGAGAAGGATGAGTCCCTTATTGCTTCGGTATGTGTAATTAGAACGAGTTGTTACTATCTTCTCCTCCTTCTGGTAGTTCTGAAAGCTAACCTTGTACAGTATCATCAGCAAATTTTGATGTAGCAACCATGTTAACAGAAATTCGAAGTTTGAGGTCATGGACATCTGATTTTGTGCACGCTTTGAAATGCAGGTCTACGAGTTTGCGATTTCAAACTTTGAAAACTCAATCACAGTCGCTGCATGCTCTCTCTTTCTTGAGCTCTGTGGAGTTTCTGCTCAAATGCTTCGAGTGGACATTGCAGTTCTGCAACGTATAGCAAAGTACTTAAGGGTGAAAGAGCAACGTGATTGGGCATCTTCTACCGGTACAAATCAACCTCAAGTAAAGTTACCTTCAACTGTTTCACTTGTAAGGGCGCTCACCGAAGAATATGCGACGCACTCTATCAAGTACCCTGTTGGTGACCTTTCGAAATCGAAATCGAAATCCCATACAGGTCTTATTACAACTTTGCAAATGTTGGAAAAGGCCACTTTAAGTGACTATATCCCAAAAACTATAGATGGGACTCCGGGTTCTTGGCTTTCGAATGCTGCAGGCAACGGTGATGAACTCAGAGAACTTCAACGATCTTTAAGTGAGCAGTGGAGCCTTGTCACAGCCTTTTGCCGTGGACATGGATTACCTCTGAGCACTACATACCTTGTGGTACTTGCCCGTGACAATGACTGGGTATGAAAAAATCTGTCCATATCTTATCTAATTGCATTACGCCGTTTTCATATACCTTTTGGGATTGTGAAAATATAATCAATTATACTGTAGTGTGAAGGAAGAGAGCCACTTATTGCAGTGTGTTGGAGATAGTTTTATGAGGTTCTGTGCTAAAATTCCGGCTGGTGCTTATTCTGTGGTTAAACTTTGCTCTAAATTCTGACAAATTGCTTTAAACTTGTCCTCATAATTCGTTTAGTGCGAACGAGTGTTGACCAGACACCAGATGAGCTTTGTTTGGCTTTTCAGGTAGGATTTTTGGCTGAAGCTCAAGCGATTGGTTGCCCGCTGGAAGTACTTATTAACCTGGTGTTTTTTCTCAACCTGTCAATCATAAGCATTTTAATTTTTGATTTTTCAATTTTTATTATATAGTAATATACTCTTCAACCACATCATTTCTATGTGCTGCAGCGTGATGGGAAGTATCCTGCTGGTGGATGCAAAATATTAATCATAATCTATTTGGGACAGGCATCTAACGAATTTACAGACCCGCGGCTTAGGTGTCACATATTGATCGTGTTGGAGAGTCTTCGTACTCCATTGCAAACACAGACACTACCAGACTGTGAAGAAGCTTCAGCGTGTGGATTCAAAACTACAATTCCAGAGGATCTTTTTGGTCTACTGGCAGAGTGCGAGGGCAAGAAATTTCCCGGTACTGGTTTACTTGCCAAATCAGAAGAGCTCCAGTGGCCGCTCCTTGCTGTGGTAGCTTCATGTTTTGATGACGTGAAACCTATATCTTGCTTGAGCATATGGCTGAAAATTACCGTTGCAAGGTTTGTGCTCATATCACTCAATTTAATTTGTAACTTAGAACAAAGACTTTTCATGTTCTGTTAACACTCTCATTTACACCTCAAATGAATTCGGCCCTCGTATTTTATTAGTAGCCAACTATTTTCAAATTGGGCTCTATTAAGATGTGTTTTCTTGGCAGATTGAGCTGCCTTTGATTTATTGGAACGATTCAACTTGGAACTCGTTTATTTTGTACTAATTAAGCATTTATTTTGACACAAGATGTTATGGTTAAAATTAATGTCCTCAATCTTTCTGCGAGTTTCCTCTCTAACTACCGGAGCTATTTATCCAGGGAAGTATTTGGTAAATCTCTAAAGAGTAAAGTCGATGAGCAACTTACTGCAACGGTAGGAGCAGCAGTTGAAGCAACGAATGTGGAGGCAAGCACTTCACTAGAAGTTCAATTTGATCGTAGTAATCCAAAAAGGCAACGTTGTTCACTGGGCAGTACTGCGGTACTGGAAAAAAATGATAAAAATATTCAGGATACCTTTACTGATAGAAAGTCTTCTCCTATGATCTCAAATTTTGAAAAAACGCGCATGGAGGTACTGCTCTTTACCATCAGTGTGTATTCTCTCCGTTTTGATGCTCCAGTTACTTGTCATCTTGTCTATTGCTACCTGGTTATTTCTGAAATTCTGATAACCTGTTTTAAATCCTGCTACTGATAGGTCCTGGTTTACTCACATTAATGAAATGCGCATACCTGTGGATGCTCATGTGTAGGCGGCTTCAGGCATGGCTGCTACAGAAGATTCTCTTGCAGGATTGGTGGCACTTCTCTGCGAACAGCAGCTATTTCTTCCACTTTTACAATCTTTCGAGCTTTTCACACCATCTTCATCTGTTATTCCCTTCATACGATTCCTTCAAGTACGTATCTTTGAAATTCCCAGAGTTAAGGTGTGCCGGTTATGTGAAATAGTTTTTTGCATCTCTCTCATACCTTCATTCTGTCTTCTTCTAAATGCTTTAAGTAAGCGGTTACTTTCTTTTTTGAGCCTAGTTTGCCGTTTTGAAGTCTATCTCTGAATAAAAAGTACGTAGAAAGAAGATTTTTCTTAAGACTTTCGCTTCTTCTCAAGTGTAGCATTCCTGATTTCCGTGAAGTTTGCAAAGCGTTGATATTTAGGTGCACATTGTTATCCATGTGCATGTAGTGATTATGTATTTCAAAAACTCATGTCCTAGATCTGTGTGGATGCTTACTGTATTCGGTAACTCTATTACTAATCTACTTAATGTTCCAAGTCAAATGTGTAGTTGTAACGCAAGTAAGTTGTAAACGCATTTCGACTGATGATGAGTCGCTCTCACTAAATTGCCCATTGATTGGTGGATCGTAAACTGTATTCAGGCTTTCGCTCAAATGCGGCTCACAGATGCCTCTTCTGAATTAAGTTCATTTTCAGCTCTCTTAAAACAAGAGACAAACAAGAACGCAAGGAGTAAATCGTCCTGGATTTCTAGAACTGCCGTTGCGACTGCTGAAGCTATGCTGGAGGCCTGCCCCTCTGTGTATGAGCGTCGTTGTCTGCTCGAACTTCTCTCAGCGGTAGACTTTTGTGATTCTGGTATAGCTGCTTTAAAATTCAGAAGGTTACTTCGGAAGTTGCAGCTGGTGGAGCCATCACTTTGTGCAGGGAAAGAAACTGTTGTCAATGGCCCGAGTCTTGGTAAGCCTCATGCAGTTCTTGTATGGTCTTCTGTCTTTTTTGACTTTACAGATCATAGCATTGCGATGAGGCTGCTGCCTTGCGTAAACTATGCTGCCTTCATTCATGTCTGTGATTCTCTTATCTTATTCAGCCGGTTCGATGCATCTGCGTGCTGTAAACAAGAATTTATTTTCCTGGCATAGACATGATAACTGGTTTGTAGTTGCTTATAATTATTGTGCTCCATAAAGATGATGGAACTCCATTATCCTAAGGTGTCCTCTATTAATATCAGGAGTAGTACTCGCTTTAGCATAACGTCATGTTTTTTTCTATTTGTGCCGGATTAGGTGATGACGAATTGCTGGCTTCACTGGAAGCAAGTGGTTTTTGGGACGAAGGTCGTATGTGGGCTCAACAACTTGATCTCAAAGACCACCGTATCAGCTCTGCTCTTCACCATGTAACAGAAACACAGGTATCATGATTCGTATTAATTCAAGTCTCCTTCACAATTAATCTTTCTGTTCGTATTAAAAGCCAATTGGCCCGTTCAGCTGCGCATGAATATTTAAAACCAATCTTCAAGCATGTAACCCTTTGTAATTATTTTGTTACCAGATGAAATATTTTGGATTGGATTTTTTTTCTTCTTGCAGGCGGAAGCCATGGTGGCAGAATGGAAGGAACTGCTGTGGGATGTACAGACGGAGCGAGCTGCCTTATGGGGTCACTGTCAAGCATTGTTCGTTAGACACTCATTTCCTCCACTAAAGGCGGGCACATTTTTCCTTAAGCATGCTGATGCTGTTGAGAATGAGGTCTCTAAACTGGAGTTGCAGAGCATTTTGGTACTAGCATTTCAGTGGCTCAGTGGCTCTTTCACTAACTCATCACCGTAAGCGCCTCTCCCTTTCCTTTCGCTAAGTGTTTTATCTGCTTCATCTTAGGTGTTGTGGAATCTCTGTAACCATGTCAATACGCTACCTTGTGCGCAAGTTCTTGAGCTGTCTAAACCTTATGTGTGGGAAAAAGGCAACTGAACCTAGTAATTTGAATTCAGAATAATCTAGCTAATTTTTAGTTAGTGTGGACCTTCGATTTTTAATAGTTTACACCATCATTTGGACGGCATTGCCATCTACTTCATTTACAATCAAAGTTATCTCTCCCGTTAATTTTGCGATTTTACTAACAGTTCTATTCCTCTGTTTGGTTTCAGAGTTTATCCAATACACCTACTGCATGAGCTTGAGATACGTATTTGGCTCCTCGCGGTAGAGGCAGAAGTGGGGATGCAGAATAGCACGGACGAAGACTCAGTGGATAGACCCGCCGGCGAACATACCAGTACAATTACGTCAACGAGTCCAGTCGATAGAACTGCCGAAACGGTGTCAATGGTTGATTTGCACTTGAGGAATATGAGCTTAAAGAATCGTAAAGAACATTCATCTAACGTTAGAGATAACTCTTCCTCAAGTAGACGTGGGCACTCCTCTTCCCCGCATAAAGTTAGACGGAAGCTGAAGCATTCGAAACATACAGCTTCAACTGCTGATATACTACATGGAACTGCCCCCAAGCCTAAGTTGGCTGACAATCAAGTTGATAAACTTTCTCAGTTAGCCTTTGGAGAGACTCAGAGCCTTAAAGGAAGGACTGGCAGTCTATCATCTGCGGGAAGCTCTAATGACTTGGACTCTCTGAATCAGGGTGAAGTGCTTGGAAGTAGTGTTAATCAACGGGATGGCAGCTTCCAATTAGGTATTCAATGCGGCAGCTGGGAAGAGCGCATTGGAGAAGGAGAGGTGGATAGGGCAGTTCTGGCTCTTGTAGAAGTGGGGCAAGTTGCTGCAGCTAAGCAACTTCAGCAAAAGTTGTCACCTGAGTACGTGCCTTTAGAGTTACTACTTGTGGAGGATGCTAAGAAGATTGCCAGTATTTCAGAACCTGATGCGGATGAATCTTTTATTTGGGGTGTCCTTCATCCACGAGTTGTCGCTGTTCTCAGTAACGTAAACTTTGCGAGCACCACGTCATCTAGTATTCTTACGCAGGTACGTCATAATCTTTCTCATTTTGATCAACTTTGACTGTATTAACAGCTGTAAATTTAGTACCATTTTCATAATAGTTATCTTGTCTCTGTCTATCTGTATCCCTCAACTTTCAGATGTTTCTGGATATTGTGGAGCGCAGATTCTAAATGCATGTGCGGAAGTTTGCCGCGAAGGTTGCGGTCGAGGTTTGTGTCAACGAATTGCAGCAATAGCTCATATATCTAAACACTTAGACTTACAATTCACGGAGGCTTTTGAGAAACATCCAGTAGATCTTCTGCAACTCCTATCTTTTAAAGGCCACGAAGCTCTCAAGGAAGCAACTTTACTTGTGTCCACTCATTCCATGGCAGCCCCTGCCATAGCTCGGGTTCTCTCGGAAACATTTTACAAGGTGCGGCCTATATCAAAATTAATTCCCTTAGACGAGTGTGTTGCTGTCATACTTTTTGATATTCACAATAGTTTAATGCTTCAGGAAAAATGTTGTGCATTCTTATTTTGTATATATATGTTAAGAAATCACGCATGCACCCGCTCTCGCACGAACTATTTCTTATAATTGCGATTATTATGGCAACTCACTGAAAATCACTATGTGACATGTTTTGTTTTATTGGGATGGGTTTACCAGAGGAGATTTACTGATTTTTGAATCATCTGGTTATTCTCAGGGCCTTGCTGCAGCATATCGTGGTGGCTACTCGGAAATTACACAGTCGGATGAGGGGCCTGGACCATTGCTTTGGAGGGTCTCTGATTTCAAGCAATGGGCCCAACTTTGTCCATCAGAGTCCGAAATTGGGCATGCACTTATGCGCCTAGTAATCAGTTCCCGTGACTTACTGCATCCCTGTGAGGTACAAAAGCTTGATGATTTAGTATTATTTCGTCTTCGCTATGACCAAGGAGGCTGACCCGGCATTCTAATGGATTATTCACCCTTTTCTTTTGGGCCGCAAATACTTGTCCAAGGTCTTTGCAATGAGCATGCGCTTGACATAATTTGTTGGCAGGTGGAGCTTTTAATCTTAGCGTTCCAGTATTACGTTTCCTCCGAATGTCTCGATGGTCTCGATGTATTAGTGGGCTTCGCCGCAACACGTGTCGACTCCTACAATTCAGAAGCAGACTTTGCGTCTCTTACACGTCTGGTAGTAGGGCTACACAGTCTCCCGGCCTTGCGTTTCATACTCGATATCTTGGTAGAAAATGGTCAGCTAGAGCTGCTATTACAAAAGACAACATGGCTTGATTTCGTTGACGCGGATAGAGCAGCAAGATGTGCAGTGCAAGGATTCCACATGGGCATTCTTTCAGCTCTGAACCACTTCAGTACTTTCGATCAGGATGCCTTCGCAATGGTATGTAAACATTATCCTTCCAATTTCATAGTTCTATGATATAGATAAACTTGTCGACATCAGTGTGATACCTTCTTCAACAGATGGGTGATGAGATCCAGTGTTGTCCTATGCTGTTTACAGTTTTCTACTCGTGTTGATATCAGTATTTGAAAGTTCTAATAAGTAAGTTTTGAATGCAGGTATATGCTCAGTTCAATATGACGTACGAGAATGCGGCTTTGCTAAAAAAACGTGCTCAACGGGGAGTTGAGTGGTGGGTGAAACACCCACATCCTGAGTCGAGCGAAGAGCTGCTAGACACAATGCGCTTGTTCGTGGAGGCAGCTGATCTCTACTTGACTGAGGAAGCAGGTGCAGATTAACTGTTTGTACTCCAAGTTGTCTTTTTCTTTGTGTAGCAACCGAAAATCAAGACTCAACGCTTTCGCTTTGCTCCAATATCATGAACTTGGTACACGTAATGACATGAATTCTTGGTATAATATGATGAGTGTTATTAAGTATCGGAGAGATTGTGGTTAACCCTCACCTGTTTTCGACAGGCAACAGCACGAGCTGGTGTTGTGCCCAAGCGTCCATGATATCTCTCCAGCTTCGAATGCCAGAATTGATGTGGCTGAACCTGACGGAGACAAATGCCAGACGTTTACTCGTTGACCAACCGCGCTTCGCTGAGGCATTGATCGTCGCCGAAGCTTATGACCTCAATCAGTCCACAGAATGGGTGCCCGTCTTATGGAATCAAATGCTGCAGTCCAGCAGGATTGACCAATTTCTGAACGATTTTGTAGATATTCTTCCCTTACCAGCTACGATGCTCCTGGAGTTGGCTCGTTTTTATCGTGCAGAGATTTCAGCACGGGGGTACCAGCTGGACTTCACAAAATGGCTCACTCCTGGGGCAGTACCAATGGAGCTATCGAGACACTTGGGAAAATCAATGCGAGCTCTCCTGAAACAGGTTTCCAACTTGAGCGTTCGATTACAACTCGCCACGCTTGCGACAGGATTCGCCGACGTAGTGGACTCGTGTATGCAATTGCTTGACCGAGTGCCTGAAACAGCTGGCCCTCTTATTCTTCGCAAGGGCCACGGAGGCGCCTACATTCCTCTCATGTAATGCAACTGCCAACAAAGATGTGTTCCACTTCATTTGAGTCGTATCCAAGCGACCATCACCCCCCATGATAATCAGCTTTCATGCTTTCTGGGCTACAACTTCGAGTAGTCATCGAATCAGAAGGCCTGAACTTTTACAAGGCTAAATAGGTGTACATGCCGTAGGGTTGCAGCAAACGTGCAAAGTGGGTCTCATTTCTGTAGAAACAATGCCACTCTCCGCACTAGGTGTTGCGGATTAACAGGTACTATTTTTAACTCGCACATAAGGGTCACAGGACCCATGTAGAAGAGCAGGTTGGTATTAGTAAGCCCTTAGAACACCAGCGCAAGTTATGAGTCAATTCGTTCATGGAAATTTTGTCTTACAAATTAAAGATCAAGCACTGACGTTGACCCTGGTGACTTTTTATGTTCAAACCTAGTCTGTAACATGATCTTGTCTCTTCAACCTAGTAAATATCAAATCTTTTGGTGCTGGCTTCTTCATTTTATTTACATGCCTACAGTTTGTGAGCCAAGGGAGTTGCATTATCTCAATCGCATTGCAATTTATAGTTCCAGCAATCTTAACACTAGGTCCATTACTGAAGTTTCAAGTCTCGTTGTCTCCCAATGTTTGCAGTTCAATGTAAGTGATGCTGAGTTCTGTTACATATTGACATGAACTTTTCAGCACGATTCATTCCAAGCAAGCAGAAAAGGCTTCAAAAACAATGTAGGCGGGATTTTAGGTTATTTTTTTGAAAATCCATGCTACAATGTTAAAGTTGGTGAATGGTTTTGTCCATAACACTAGATCTTATTAATGTGTTTATTTACAGCAATACACAAACATTGATAAAAATAAAAAAATAAAAACCATGCAGTAGTGGATAAAACCATAATAATTTCAATTTCTTATGCAACTGTTCATCATAAAATAGAAACAAGAAACTGTATTTGAATTTTTTATTCTACATTATTATTTAAAATTCTTTATCTGAAAAAAAATTATTTTTACCTTTTTAATGATATTAATAATGAATTCGAGAGAGAAAAAAACAAAAAACAAAAAAGTAGAAAATTAAAGCATAGAAAAATCCAATTTATCAAAAGTTCAGCCACTAAAAGCACTACCAAGAAAGAAAATTAAAATCCCTTAAGTGAGGGTCTTATGAATATTATTATAAAGATTATTTGTTGGAATAATTAGTTTAAGCAAATGGAGTCTTAACACCAACGTGCAGTTTACCGAAGTGGAGTCTACTCACACTCATATCCTAGATTTTGCAATGCGGTATCTAGGTTACTTCAATTCAAATTGAGCCCAGCCCCGACACTGTCTAAATTCGACAAATCTACTAATGCCATTCAAATCTTCGCAGTCGGGAGGGAAAGTCATGGCGCCGCCTGCCATGCGAGAGCCTCCACCTCGCTGCGCCTCGTCTCCGGCCCTCCTCGCAATCGAGACCCAGTTTCTCCCTCGCCCCACAGCCCAATTCAATCGCACGCGCCAATCCCCAATTCCTTCAATTGCATCCTTTCTTCAATGCGGGGCGATTCCTGTACCGTTTCCACAATCCCAATCACCTCGAAATCTACACTACCGCAATTCTCCAGCTTGCACTGAAAGTCTGGCTCCCTCGGGGCCTTCATCAATCCTGCGATCGTGGATCCAATTCATTGCAATCATTATCGCTGTCTTCTTCATTTCAATTGTGGTTGTATTCGTCTTGTGGGTTTCTCAGTTGGGGTTTCCTTCGAGGGCTCGTCTGCGGAGTTTCTTACGCTGTAGGAGAGTTTGTTTCAGGGTGGGTGGGCTTGTTTTCAGTGGGGTAAACGGTTCGGATTGTTTGAGGGTGATTTGAATTGGGGGGGTGGCATTTCGTGGTTGATTGTCGGGCAGGCTCACAGATTTGTGGTCTGACTTCGAGGTAGAGTTGGGATCTTTGGCATCGGAGAAGCTTTGCCCTAATTCTATTCCCCTGTCTGGCAGGGGTTCGTGTTGAAAAAATTGTTCCCTGGGAGATCTCAGCTGTGTCACGATTTCTTTGTTGGTCTCATTATATTTTCTTTTTATGTCTCTCATCCGTTAAGGGTTGCTATTTGATTTCAGATTCTGGTAGTTGAGCACAGTGAATTGGCCTATTCGCTCAGTAAAATTGACCTAGAATGCTTGTTCCTCTAGCGTGTGTGAGGGCTGATTGAGTTCCACATCTGGATTTGGGCATTGTTTCGATGGCACAATTTATCACTGTGGACTGGAAGATTCTTCATTTTTTAGCTCCGAGGATATGATTCCTCGTATTAGTCTGGTGGATTTTGGGTTATGACAAGGTTGTTAGCTAACCTCACGTCTTAACTTTTAACGGGCTGGGGTTTACCTCAGTCTCAAGATTGAAGGACTGTTCAGTTACGTTGGGAGGCTTTCAAGAATCTAATAGTCGAAAGTGTCGTGACATTGCATTTTGCGGATACCTATGAATAGTGAAGCACGAGAAACTTATGCATATTTTTTCTACCCCTTCCGCTTCTCCTCCAGTTTAGGGAGACGTTTGAGTTCATTCTTTCACTCTTAGTAGCTACAAAAGCTTAGTGATCAAGGCTGGGGTTTGAGAATATTGATCTTGCAATAACCTCCTCATTTACAGTTGCGATACTAGTATGGCATGTGGGCTTCATCTTTTACTTGCATCTGATACATTAGCATTGGGAGCTGGGAGTAGTCAGCACTAGTGAATTACGCATTAATCCTAAATGACCTCCAAGATGGGGTTGAAGATGTAGGATTCCTTTTGAAGTGGAACCATCGCATTCAGTGTTATAATTTCCACCTCTCTCAAGGGGGTTTTGTGCTCCACCTGTGAATGAGCAAGTCCAGGCTGACGCAGCGGCACAGCAACCATGGTGGTTGCCAGTTCGAAGGCTTCAGCTCAGGCAGGTTGATTCTGCACAGAGAACAGGCTTGTCTGACCTTGCACATGAGGTTTTGGTTAAGGGTAAATTCTGTGACATTGGTCACTGGACTCTTGGATTAGTACTGAAAGACGAGGTTTTAACGATGAGTGATGTGCTGTATTTGTCTTTTCAAGTGACTGATGCTGTAGCTTTCTCTCCCACTGCAGAACGTTTTTGCGGACTTGCTGGATTCTCTCATATTAGATGTGGCATCTGAAGCTCATAGAGCTGCTCGCCTTGGGTTTGACTACCGGTTGAGAAATGAGGAGGAAGATGAAGCGCGCGCGTGTGCAAGTGCCCGGGCTACATTGGGCGATGTCGACTCTGCGGCCTCAGAGAACTGTGGCAAGTATACTGTGGATGTGTTCGAACTGACGCATCCCACCATTGCTCAGGAGATGTTCGACTGCATGAACTGCGGGCGTCCTATTGTTGCTGGCCGGTTCGCTCCTCATCTCGAAAAATGCATGGGAAAAGTGAGCATCTGGTTCCTTGTGATATTTTGTACTTCGTCCGAACGTGTTCAAAGAAATGTAAATTTAGATAAGTATTTTGGAGAATACCGTATCCATTGATTTACATACTAGCCATAGGGGGTCCCTTGTCGAGAAAACAACGAGAATCGTTTTTCTAGAAATCCTCTTATTGTGTAATTCTGTACATGGGTCCTCTAATGCTGCAGCGCATGTCTCTACTGCTGGCATTCTTGGTTGGCTCAGGGGTTAATATTGTTACCACTACCATGATCTGTTTCATAACAGGGTCGGAAGGCACGGATCAAGCCAAACTCTAGCCTGAGTGCTAGTCAGCCACGGCGAGGCCGGGCAGCTGCACCAACTTCCAGAAACACGAACGACAATTCTGGTGGTCACTACCGTTCCTCAAGTAGGCCACTCGTGCGAGGCGCTGCTCAGGAATCGCAGCGTAGCACCCCGGAAGCTAACGGGACTTCGACTGCGCAGGGGTCTCATGAAGTTGATAAAGTATTTCCTTTTCCGTTTTTTTGCTAGGTTCTGTTGTGTTTCAAAGTAGAAACATAGCTACAGATAAATTGCCGTCTCCAGTAACTTCTTGTAAATCAGGAGCTATGGATCCCAATCAATTCTTCCAATGTATTATCTCTGTCGAGGATTCGGCTGCATATATACGCTCCAGTCACGTTGTTCTGAAGCCCCGATTCTTAATTATCTTTAGCTGTAGGGTTCAGCGTTTACGAAAAGTTTTTGAGTTTTTATTGGCTTTGCACGTCTGGATGTCGTAATCTCTGATTGATTTGGATTTGCAGGACATGGTTCCAGGGCTTCCTCATCCTGGGAAAGCACGAACTAAGAAGAGCTCCCTCAAAGTACAACGTGTGATTCCAGGTGGCTCGGGGGTAGCGAGATCGTTTGATAACGTTGTAGGTAGAGGAGGCTCTGCACCTGACACTACTTTGGGATCCCAAGCCGGTTTTGTATCTGGAATGGCAGTACCTGTGGCTGTATCTGGGGAGCTTGAGGCTCCAGTTGCAAACCACAAGTCGACGGGATCTGGTCGCACTGGCACCATCAAGGGACGTAAAGGCAACGAGAAGAAGAGGAACATTGGGCAAGTTATGGCAGGGTCTGCCAGCATGGCAAATGGGGTGAATGGAAACGGAGAGTTGGATGCGAGGTCAAGAACTGTGGAGGTTAGGGTTGAAAATTCGGATACCTCTTTGATGTCTCCTTTCTCCAGCCATTCCCTGGGGTAATGTTTGTAGATCATCTTACGGAACATGAGGCGTTTCTGTACACAAGTTGTCTCTGGTTCAGCTGCACGAAGCCGGTTAATTTTGCTGGTTTGCACAGAAAGCTAGCAATCTTGCGTAACAAGAACTTCTCCTTAGAAGAAGCTACGCAAGATTACAATCAAAGTTGAGGTTGCTCTCTTCTGGAAAGAGTACCACTCAGGATCACAATTCTGGCATCGGCAGGTCTTGACCTTAGCGGTAGAGTGGGATAAGTGTTCAGTGGTATGGGGTTAGTAACGACTATTAACACATGGAGAGTGTACAAGCTATGTACCTGGAAGAATGGTTACACCAAGTTGCAGATGTAGAGAATTACAATTTCCGAGGGGTCATCCACATGCCAAAGGCTTGGGACCCTCTGGGGTGCCTGCCACCTTATTGATGAAGCAATTTTGTGTGCTATGGTATACCCGGTCATTACTTCACTGTAATTTCCTTTGATAATCCAATCATTTTTTACTCATGTTTTGATCAAGTGCTTCTCTGCTGTTGCTCACGATTCATTTTCAGTTTATCCAACTATATCAGCTTGCAGTTTAGCTTCTTCATTCGCTATTGCCATCACTGTGGATTGCCACAAGTGTAGGTCTTGAAAGACCTATAGTTTACAAAAAAGGGCCGTGTGGACTATTAATTGAATTTGGATCAACCTTTGTATATATAAAACCCGGGTGGTCTTTGATCTTGTCACAAGTGATCGTAGACTGTTTGAAAGCTTTCCTAAACTTTACATTCTCAAGGAAAGGAAACTGTTGAATCTCATTAATGATTAGTTATTGGTCAGCCCAGAGAGGCAATATCTTGTTTAGCCATTTATATTACCCTGGTCTATTGTATTGTGAGGCAATAACAATCTGGTGAAAGTTTATTTGAACTATTCATCTCCATCACTCCATATTTTCATAACCTATTTCAGCATCTATCACTATCTGCACATCTCCTTTGTCAACAATTTTGCAGACAATGTTGCAGGTGTACAACTGTAAGCATTGGGGAATTTTTAGATCCTTCAATGGTGCCTACGATGTTTCTATGAGGCGTTAATAATGTGTCGGACTTTTGAGAGAGTAAAATGCCTTCGATCTTGCTATCCATGTGAAAAGGTTTTTGTAGCTTACAATGTTTTGTGTGATCATCAATAATGTTTGTTGTTTGATGTGGTTTTCCATTACTGATTATATTATTAGGTCTCTAATGAATTGCTGACACTATCTTTAGATCAATGTTGGTCAAGCATGGGATATTAGGAAGTTAAGTTTCCACAAAAGGTGTATCATCAAAACGATTGACAGTTCAAAAAAATAGGTATTTAATTAATGAAGAAATTGCCACACATCAGTTTAGGAAAATTTTAAAATTAAATATTGGCCATTGGTGCTACACAGAATTCACTCATACTCCATAAATACTAAAACATGCAATAAAAACAGGTTTTTTTATATTATCATATTAAGGATAAGAATGAAAGTACTAGATATCAAACATGATTGTATATGTATTTAAAAAACTACTTTGAAGTAAGTAAAATGTTTATCTAATTTTTGTGAAATTTTAACTCAGAAAGCATTAACTTAAATAGATTTATAAATATTTATAAATAATAATGCTTAAACATATAAGACTTTTAGGCATAAACTAAGTCCTTCCATTAATAATTATCATATGCAATCTTACATTGACTATGAATGGATTATAAGCACATAAAGCCAATTATTCCAAAACACCAAAGATTTCAGAAATTTAAGACCTTTTTCTGATTAATGATATATTTTTTGATCAGTGATAGAAGCTCATCTTTGTTAATCTAAAACAAATCCAATTCATATAATAAACATTTATAATTTCCAATCTACAATCAACAATGTAAATTTATTGAAAATTACACCAATTCTTTACATAAAAAACTCTACAATAAATAAATTTGGTTACTCAATATTATGAGTTTTAATATTACCTCTATCTATGTATATATATATTTATATATATATATATATATATATACATACATACATACATACATAATCATTGTGTATTTAAAAAAGAAGACTTCTAATATGTAAAATTTATAAATATTGGTTATATTAATATTTTTTGATTAAATATGTCATAAAATTTTAAGATTGTAGGAGCTCTTATTTATCAAATCCGACCACTTCACAAAATAAATCCATCTATTTCAAAAAAAAATGTTGAAATGTACTTGTAAGGTAAAACATTTTAATTGTAAGGAGCTCATTACTCAAGTTAGATCTCAAAACAGGTTTGTATATTTTAATTGTTTCCATATCTGTTTACTCTGTTTATCATTGTTGCTAATATTGCTTGTAGTTTGACTTTTATGATCATCAGATATTCGACTTCTTTACTCCCTAAAAACCCATAAAAATTTGTCTCATAAATGCACACACCAACTTTTGATATAAATTAATGATTTGTACCAAATTGCACAATTGAAGTTGCCACCATAATAAGTCCTAAATTCCAAAGCATACTTTTATCTTACTTCTCCACCTAACTACATCATAATAGGAAGTATTTTTATCTTAAAATATATTCAAAACAACTAATGACAGTTTGGTGATTTGCAATCCCATAAAAAGTTATATTTATGCTCGAAATTTTTATTTTTTAAAAGTTATTTTAGCATTGATTACAAAAAAAAAAAAAAAAATCATACAAAAGCAAGTGTGGTGCAAATTTGTAATAAAATAATTTTAGAATTTTCAAGATATCTCATATCTTCATTTATTACTACAATGAAAATATAATAGATTGATCTTTCCTATTTGATGTTCATCACCATAACACAAACAATAAAGTTGTGGAGTGTCGATGTGGATAGTGGCTTTCAAGGCTCAATTTTGGAAACTTGTAGCTTTTTGTTTTGAAAAGCCTTCACTTCATGACTTGGAGTCATTTTATTTAATTCTTTTAAGAGTATAAATTAAGCTTCAAATTTGTTGCAATAATTGTTAGAAATGAACAGAATACCTCTTCCCATGTATATCATCCAACTTTAGAGATAATAATGAATAGAATTAGTTTGCAAGGTTGAATCACACCATAAAACATATTAAGAGCCACTACTATGTAGTACATTCTACAATACTTGTATATAAACCTTTTCTTGTGACACAAAAATCATCTTTTGAAAATAAAGCTCATTTATTTTCATGGTATCAGAGCAACCCTAATAAGAAGCTAGGTTCTGAGAGCTTTATATAGAGTACATTCAAAGATCAAAGTAAGCACTATAGATAGTACTAAAAATTCTTTCACTTATACTAAGACTAATAATAGAATATTAAAAAGAAGCAAGTTTAGCATCAATGAAAAAAATGAAAAAACAACGTGATTTGTTAATAAACAAGTCCAATAAACTTAAGTGACTCAATAACTATCATGTCTAGAAATTAAAAATAAAAGCTATTTATTGAAGTGAAAACATGTGGGAAGTTGTTGACAATGTGATCTCACCCACAACCTTTCTAATCATGCTATCAAATGAAAGGCACATAACCAAGCAACAATTATAAGATCTAAAGTTGATAGCTTATAAGACAATTATCATATCAATGAAAGATTCATTAATTGATACCATCACCAAATATAAGGATCATACAATGGCATGAGAGAGACTATGTACACTTTATCAAAATGGAGATCCGTCCATGGTATTATTTGTCACAAATTAGCTGAATCAAATCAAACTATCAAAACAAAGAATATTGAAAGACTACAATAAGGCATGAGAGTTAAAAAATCAACTAGCCGCATTAAAAGAGCCACTATCTGACTGCTTACTAGTATAAGTGATACTGAATGAATTATCCACATCTTATTAATACATTATACCAGTGTTGACATATAATGCAATATTTTCAACCTTTGACATGAAGAGTATGATGCTACTAATAGAGTACCACCAATTGCGGCACCAAAAAATGAATCTAAGTAATAAAGAAGTAATATCAATGCATTTTTGACAAAGAGTCTAAATAATTACATGAAGAAGAAGGCACTTGCATAATTCATGCTGAGGTTGCGGATCTCCCAGCTATTCCTATAGAAGAAAATTTTCACTAGAAATAACACAAGAATACAAAAGACAAGAAGACTTTGGCTACTACATTTGTGGCAAATAGAGCAACTATGCATGGAACTACCAAAATTACAAAGGACCATGAGAGCTATAATACAACTTTGTAAACTTAGTGGAAGGAAATGACAATTGAAATAAAGAATTAAAAACTAAAATAAATGAAGTAATATTAGAAGTAGTCTTTATAAAACTCTAAAATAATTTTAAAAAATGTAATAGTTGGTATATGGATTCAAGGACAATAAACATATCATTGAATCCAAACAATGTTTAAACTTCATTGAAAATTTGGAAAATAGAAGCAAATCAATATCTATTGTAAGATAAAAGAAATACAAGATTGAAGGAATAAAAGATGGTTATTTGTATATAAGAGAAGAACAAATAAAGTTGGATGATGTTCTCTACATCCCGTCTCTAAAGCAAAATCTAATGTTAATAGTCCTACTAACAAATAGAAGTAACATGATTATTTTTATGAAGGATAAATATTTTTTTTTCAATAATCTAGGTGACAAATTAATAATATGATCTAACAATAAAGATAGTATAAATGGCCTCTACAAAATAGGAGACAACATCAACTATAATATAAATACTATAACACATAATGACAAAATGAGATTATGACATTGTAGATATGAACACTTAAACTACTAAGGTCTACATCACCTCTACTTAAAAAATAGAGTTGTTGACTTACTAAAAAATAGATCTCATTAAAGATATTTTTCATAATTGTTTAGATTGTTGCCAAAAAAGAGAAAGCTTTCCGATAAAAAGTACATTAAGAACTTAACATATTACAAACATTTAATAAGAATATTATTAAAATATTATTAGAATATTTTATTAGATTTTAAAAGATTTTAGAAGATTCTTAAAATATTCTAATAGAATATTCTTTAAAAATTTCTAAAAGATTTCTAAAAGATTCTAAAAGATTCTAAAAGATTCTAAAAGATTCTAAAAGATATTTGAAAGGTTTTCAAAATATTCTAGCAAATTCTAAAAAGTTCTAAGAGAATTAAGGAAGTTGTCCAAGAAGGATTCTAAAGTTGCATTGTTTCCAATTAATATAAAAACTTCTCAAGATGCTTCTTAATATCTAATATATATTAGAGTCAAGACTAAGATGAACCTCATTCTTGACAACATATCTCTTGGAGCTCTAGCTCATCTCTCTTGATGTTGATTTTATATTCATTTTATTTAATGAACTTCAAGCTAGTTTTCTTGTTAAAACTCTTTTCTTCAAGTTCTTATTTGGTCTTTTGTATAGTATATGTATGATAATTTATTGATACTATCTTCTTATTAATACTAAAGCTTGATCTTTTTTGATAGAGAGTAAATTATCTTTCTTCTTAAAA